CGACGTAGATAGAACTACAAGATGGATCTTTTGTGTCAAAGGTGAATATGCTTTGGTCAACTTACTAACATACACCTAGGACATGACCATCCTTTTATGTTTGGTAGAATGCAACAATTTATTGAGTTAACGGAAGTTTAAACAAAATAAATAATCCGGAGATGATTGATTAGAGCATTGTTTTGTATTGATTTTTTTATGTTGTTCAAACATCATATGTAATACTTTAATGAACTCATTATATTATTGATGGATCTAATTTGATGAAAGCATAATTATTATATAATACAATTTAAGACGTACTTATAAACATGATTAAAAAAATATTCACAACTGTTTCAGTATGTAGGGTCGGAAGACACACTTTCACAATTTTAATCTTATTTCTAGTTTTCACTTAATCTTCTTAACTCTTTTGAATCAAGTCTTAAATACTTAATAAATGCAATCATCTACATTTTTATCTTACTTTTGTATTTATAAGTTTCATATTTGGCCTTTAAATAGAACTGATCCAATATCTTCTATACATGTTTTTACTTTCTTATGTAGATAAAAAGTTTAGACCGAACGATTGAGATGACCGTACAAACCTTAACCATTTGGTGTATCAGATTATAGTTTTTTTTTAGTCACCTTTTTATATCTTTGACTGACAATAGGCAAAAATACACATAAGAATTAATAACTATGTTTAAGATTGTCTCCCACAAATATTACAATTATCTTTACTATAAACTTTTTTTTTCGTTTTATTCAGTGTGTAGTTTTGAACTTGATCATTATTTGACATCAAATATAAATTTAATTTCGAACGAAATAGTTATTGAAAAAATCCTAAAATACCATATCAATTATTTCATCAACCAATAAAAAATACTTTCAAATATAATAAAAAAATCATTGTATGAAAAAAAGTAATTCTCACATGCTAACATATATTTTCTCTTTTAAGTAGGATAAAAAATATTATGATATAAATTTATCACATATTCCAACTTGTTTTATTAAAGTATGTATTTTAAATACGTTATAGATAATTTAGCATATAAACATAGGCACTATCCGCCTGTATGCATTTTTAAATATTATATCATTGTAATCTTTTAAGTTAAGTTAATTTGATTCATAAAGGGTTAAATGAGATATTAAAAATGTTAAAAAACAATGAATAATTAATGAAATTATTAGAAATATTTAAATATTAATTTGATCTATGTTTTTGTTGAGATTTTTTCAATATGATTATAATCTTTTTTAATTAAGTTTTAATTTTCGTTAATTTTGTTTAATTTAATTCTCTTTTATTAATATTTTTTAAATAGTTAACTATGTATGTCACTCAATACATGTTTCCTTTTTCTTAATTTTTAAAATATAATTCACGTGTTAAGTAAATGTTGTGTGAAATGACAATAATAATATATGTCAGACCTCGGAAAAATGTACTCAAATCCCTCCTGTCAGTCATTTAAAACGCACTCAAAACTCTCTGCACGGACGCCAGGTGTCAATCAACGAGGATTCGAAAATCAAATAGTGGAAGGCAGGTGTCGGCAGAGAGCGGACGTCTGTTTGGACGTGGAAAGCAAAAATTGATTTTTCGGAAAACCCGTACCCACTCTCTTCTGCATGCACCTTCTTCTTTCCAAACTCTGATTTTCCATTTCTCCTTTTTCTCTCTAGAAACTCTCCCTTCTCTCTACTGAAACTCACCTTTTCTCTGCTTCGATTACCGTTTAGGCACCATAGGAGCATTCCCGGCGTCCCAAGCTACAATCTGAACCGAACGGTTCCAAGTTCTAAAACTGGTAAGTCTTTTGTCCTTAGTCGTTTGTTCTATAGTACATGTAAACCAAGTTTCGGTTGCATGCTGATACCTCGTCTGATCCATTTTTGGTTTCTGGCTGTTGGTTAAATTAAGAGTTGTGGAACGTAAGGGTAGAAGAAATTTTAGTCAGACAAACCATACTTCTGCCTCTAGGACGATCGTTCACAGGTAAGGGAAGCTTATTTTTATTAATTTATATGTGGTTGGCACTGTATGAATGTCCGTTATTTGACCTTGAATGAATTATATGCATGATGGTTGATAGTTTGGAATGTAGAATGTTGATATGATTGTTTATGTGGAAATGAATTATAGTATGATATGGGAGTTGTCAATAGTATGCAAATTGATATGATATGAAATTTATTAAAGTTATGAAATTATGTAAAGAAATGAGTATTGAAGATAAATGAGTACTGAATATGAAATTTTCCTATGATAATTGTACGTTCGTCATGAACGGTCTTTGACCGTTCGGTGTTCCTAGTAAACTGGTTGACATTGAATTCTTTCATTTGGAAAGAATTCTAGTGAGGACGAGCGCCTTCTTGTAGTAATGCTGCGCTTGAGCGTTCGTCAGGCGTAGTTGCATCTGAGCTTTCAGTGACAAACATAAGATAGGTAGATTATATTATATATTAATATGATATATATATATATGTATGTATGTATGTATGTATGTATGTATGTATGTATGTATGTATGTATTTGTATATGGTAGTTATTCTTAGACACGAGTCCGATAATATCTTATTTATGAATCTTTTAATTGAAGTTTATTACTGCTCGGTCTCACACCAAGCTCTTGTGATGAGTAGCGCTCGGTCTTATACCAAGCGCTCGTACCCATTCATAGTAAATCAATCTTGATGAAATAATGTTCGTCCAATTTCAGTAGAATCTCCTTTACCGTGTTCGGTCATTGACCGGCATCAGGTTTCTGTATATGAATTATTTTAAATATGATTCTTTAACGTCTTGACGTGTCTACATTTCATTGAGTTCCGCTAGAGCCCCGTACTTAATTTATTCTTGAGTATTGGTTTGAACTTACGAGAGTAGTTCATTCAACTGATTGCACGTTATAAATAACGTTCGTCTTATGGTATATGATTGTACTCGGTCTATTCCTAAATCTATTAGTAACCCATTTCGGTTTATATTCTAATCCGCGAAACAGGCGACTTCTTGGTCGGTTCCTCGTGTTCTCCTATTCTGAGTAGGGAAGATGTAACGTCGTTGTTATGGTTAGTATAAAATGGTGATAAAGATTGAAGTTAGGATGATGGATAATAACAGATGAGTAGATAGTGAGATGGTATAATATGATGTGGAATGTGAACGAGCGTTCGGGGAGGAGCGACTCTGAGTGAAGAATTGAAGTTGGTAAAGTATGACTGTGGTAAGTGCTAAGCTGTCGATTCATCCTGATGTTCCGTGAATACTCGTCCTCATGGTAGAGGAGGGTAGGTCATGTGTGGAAGGAACGGCAGGAGGTCTGGTCCGTAGTGGGCTACTTTGGACAAGATAGGGCTAACTACTGGGTGGCAGCTGTTGAGTGTATCCCAGTTACTACACCACCCGGGTGCACGAACGTCCGTAGCTACACAGATGTCAGACAGTCAGACGGTCAGTCTAGTGATAGGCTTGGTATGATACATAACTTGAATTATCTCTTGTGTGTTGGATTGTTTTATGATATTGATGCATGAATTAAATTATATAAGCTTACCCTGGTTTTCCTTGTGTTGTCTTGTTTGGTTGTCCGTCCTTGTCGTTGCTTGCAATGATCATCCGTGTGGATGTGAGTAGAAGGAGACGCGCTACTGGAAGAGGCGCTGGAAGAAGAGAACTTGGTCGAAGTCGAAGTTAAGACCGAACAGTAAGACGTTCGGTTAGTAGTGTAGTTTTTGGTAAGGTGGTCGTTCGATCACCTTTTCCCTTCTTTTGTATGACCATTCGGTGTTGGTTTTGTAAACCGTTCGGTCAAATTTAACTTATCTTGTACAGTTAAGTTGGAAAGTTTATGTAAGGCCGTTAGGCCAGAACCGTACGTTCTTTTAATGTTAAGACTGATCTAAATTATTATTAATTGTTAATATTCTATTATATGATTTATTGCTATATTTTTGAGATGTTACGACAAATGTTTCTATTAATGTTTATATTTAATTGAGTCTTAGTTTTCTTAATTTTATTCATATTCAGTCATAATTTTCGTAATTTTGTTTAAATATGTTTTTGTTTAAATTAATATAATTTATATTCTTTTTATAAAAATGTTATAGTAAATATTTTATTAAAATTTATATTTTTATTAAATATTTGTGAAATTATTTTTATATTAACTCTAAATATATCTTTATAATATAATTGTTAGGTTTTTGAATCAACTTTAATCTTATTATTTTCCTGTAGGAAAAATAAAAATAAATTTAATAATTATATTTTAATAATATAGTTAGAGTTGGTTTAAAAGTAGTTTTAAAAATTAAGAAAATATGACACACGAACCATATTTTAAAAAAACCCACATACATGAAATATATTGTTTACACACACGGTTACCTATTTAAACAAGTAAAAAGAATAAAATAAACAAAAATTAGACTTTATTAAATAAAAGAAATTAAAATCATATTAAAAAAATTCACAAAGCAAATTAATATTTAAGTCTGTTAAAAAATATAAATTTTCAGTTACAAAATTATAAACACGTAAAATAGAAAATGTTGGTTAAAAAATTTAAATTAATAAAGGTAACTAATTTAATAGTATCGAATAAAATATAAACGATTTTTAGTAAAAATTTTAATCCAAATTTAAAAATAAAACCAATAACAAAGTATTACCAAATAAAATATAAATAATTTTTATTAAAAAAAACTGAAATTAATGAGAATTTTATATAATTATCTTTAGTAAATAAATTAAAATTTTTATTATTAAAGGTAAAATAGAAACAAAAGTGTATCCATTTATATACAGATGAGATTAAATAATTTCTCTATATTTTAAAAACTCAACAAAATAATTTTTTTTTCAAAAAAAAAGGACAAGACAGGTGTCAGCGCTATTTATATATTTATAAGGGTAAATTTAAAAAACAAAATAGTTGAGGGGTAACATTGTAAATTGAATTACTTTCCCTCTGCAAAACCCTAATCGTTATCATATATAAAATCGAAAGAAAAGAGCCTCCATCTTTCACTTTGCAGCAACACAGCTCTAAACGGCCAAAGGGTTCATCTAATCTCCGAATCTCTACGCCGGGTTGCAACAAACATGGTTCGTACATCGATTGATCAATCATATAAACCCTATAATTTCGGACTCAGTGGTGTGTAGGGAATGTTATGGTAGCTATTCTGATAGGGTTTTTGTTGTTATTTTGCAGTCGAGGAGAAAGGTTAGAGAGCCAAAAGAAGAAAATGTGACTCTAGGTCCAGCTGTTAGAGACGGTGAACACGTCTTTGGCGTCGCTCGCATCTTTGCTTCCTTCAATGACACATTCATTGTAAGTATATGCTTTTCTTTTTATTTTGTGGTTTCACTTTTCAATTGCTTAAGTTTGATTTTTGATTTTTATGGTTGCAGCATGTTACTGACTTGTCTGGGAGGGAAACACTTGTTCGCATAACTGGTACGGTTGCTTTTATTCACATTATAGGATTGAATTGATTGTACGCTATTATTCCATTATACCATTACCAATTTATTGGCTATTGTGTAACTTCTATACTTTTTCTTTTTCTTTTTATCAATTTTTCTCATGTTATAATATTGATAATGATAATGAAATTGCCCATATCCAATTTCAGTGGATGTTATGTTAGAGTGTTGATACATATGCCTTTTGATTTTTAATCCCCGATCAACATTCTTGTTAGAGTGTTAATACCTGTGCTTTTATGATCCTTATCTGTCACTTAAGTATTCCCATGTCTTATAATGGAGGGAGCTTTGAGATTTGACCTGCAGTGTTTACAACTTTGTCTGGCTTTATCTTTAAGATTTTCGAGTGTTTTATTTACAGTACTTGTTGAAATTTATTTCTTTATAACCAAACTAACATTCTTTGCCATTAGAAAATTTTGGTCAAGTCTTTTCTTTTTTAGTAGATATGGGAAAACGACTGTTCTTTACGTATTTTATGACTTAGCTTTCTAATGTGCTTTACTTATAAGTTACGTATTTTTGCTTTTTAATTTCAGGTGGGATGAAGGTTAAAGCTGATAGAGATGAATCATCTCCCTATGCTGCTATGCTTGCAGCACAGGATGTTGCTGCCAGATGCAAGGTCAGTGGGATTCACATTAGTACAATCACTTTTTCTCTTCTGACCTTTGTGATCGTCATGCCGCTCTTATGGATTTGTAGAATTCCTATTTGATCTCCCTGTTTGCTAAGCCGATATCACTGGTCAATTGTTTTGGCTAGCTTTTCTTTCTTTCACTGTTTTTATTCTGTTCATGCTCTATGAATCTATAGTGAGTATGATTCTATTTTTTGTTTCTTTGAAGCTGCCAAACTTACTAATGTATTGTTTCAAATTATTTTTATCAGGAACTGGGCATAACTGCTCTTCATATCAGGCTCCGTGCCACTGGTGGAAACAAGACAAAGACACCTGGTCCTGGCGCTCAATCCGCTCTTAGAGCCCTTGCTCGTTCAGGAATGAAAATTGGTCGCATAGGTATTTGCTTTTTAAGAGAAAACCCCTAGTTCAATTTGATTGCCTCGTACTCAAATGTCTGGTTGTCCTTTTTCATTTGTTATTAAGTCAAATAGTAGCTAGCTGGTTTTTTTAATTTAGTTCTGTATTCATTTTTTTCCGGTTTTCTTTTCTGATTGATTTAATTTGTATGGTATTTGTATTGTATGCTAGATGTTAATTGTTGCTTTTTTTTTCAGAGGATGTGACTCCCATTCCTTCCGACAGCACACGTAGAAAGAGTGGAAGGAGGGGTAGAAGGCTTTAAGCTTCTGCTATATGTCTGGAGTCGCTCTGCTTTTATTTCCATGTCAAGTAGAATTGTGCCATTTCGAAATTTTGGTTGGGCTTCATATCAAACTTTTATTGTATTTCTTCAGCTTTCTCGAACATAATTGAAGTTTACATGCTCTGACATTAATGTTAAATGCTTTTGAAAGTTCTGAATGTTACTTCGTGTCTTAGAAAGCTACTAATTAAAGTACTTGATGAAACATTCTTATTTATTATTTCATTATTGTTTTTTTTTATTTCGCTCTCCCTTTTTATCTAGTCTTAGCGTGCAAGAATCGTTAGAAATTAGATTATTGTTCATTAATTGAATCATGCTTTATGGCATTGTCGAATTCTTAATTTTGGGAATGAAAATTTTCCGCTTAGGTAGGGTTGTGTAAATTGATGAATTAATTGTTGAGCTTTAAAATGTTTGAATTATATAAATTATCCAAATCATTAATGAAATAGGTGAGTATTTCAATCAATTCTTTTTGAGAGAAGTTTGGTTTATAAGTTTAAGTTAGACCTAACTAAATTTTAAGTTCTTCCTAAATGTATTTTAATTTAATTGAGTTTTTATCATGTTTTTTTTATGTCATTTTACTCTTAAGTGGAATAGACAACGTTATCCAATTGGCTGGAAATTTTTTTTAGATTCTTCAACTTTTTTAATTGTGACATCTGATTTTGTTGACATCTCCAAGGTCCTCCCAACAATTCCACATCCATCTTCTGCAAAACTTAATTTTTTTCTCAATATTTGAAGTTGTATTGACTTCACCCTAGCAATAATCTGCCATTTTCTTTCAGTTAGGTCCAAAATGTTCCTCCATCTGTATCTGAATATAATCTCTAGCAATAGCATGAAAAGTATTTTCATTTTGATTAAATCTTCTGTGCATTTGTCTCAGCAGCTGGTGGCAATTGAATTCTGCATTTAACAATTGTTCAATGTTTTTTTCGTTGAAAATACAAATGGTCTAATAGTTCTAATAACCATTAACTAGAGAAATGACAACTTGCTCGAAATTTGGATAAGTGGCCATTGATGTTAACTAGGAAAGGAAGAGAACTGATGAAAAGTATAATAGAAAAATTTAATAAAACTAGAAGAAAAAATGTGTTTTCTTCTTATTATAAATGAATAATATTGTACCAAATTAAAAGGCCACTGCAAATAATTGAAAATATTGTACCAAATTAAAAGGCCGATACAATAAATAATTGAAAATTAAATTATTTTGGTAAATATGGATTATGTTATTTTGTTCCAAGTTTCCCTTGCAACTAATCTATTGCTGCATTGATATATTATTGTTTTGTCTTCTCAATTGCAAAAATGTTTCTAGTATTGCTTTGCCTCTTATGCATCTTTATTGGAAAAAATTAGATACATTAGCAATAGTAACTTGAGTTTCAACTTTAGCTTGTTTTCTATCCTAACTGAAAAGTTAATGTTATTTAATAATAGTTTCAATATTGTTGTGAACTTGTCTTATGGGAGAACATGTGGAATAAAGAAAAACATTTGTCACTCGATCAGAATGCTCTTGGAGTTGCCAATTTACCAAAAGCACCCTCTTCATTTTATGAAGGGATATAATATAATATCCCTCGTTTTCAATTCCATAAAGATCTTTCAGCCAACACTGTTTGAAGTTTGAATCAGTACCATAAACAAATAAATTTCTAAGCCAATAAATGTAAAAAATATATAAAATTAAGTATTTTTATACTCCTGGGATATTAATATCGCTTGCAAATTTCTAACCAAGTTACAAACCGCGCATGAACAAAAAAAAGAAAAACCGTATTCGTTAAAAATTTAGAATTCAAGAATGGGAATAATTAAGAAAAAAAAGACAGAAACTGTCTTTAGAAGAAGTCCTTGATTTTGTTATCCAACACCAGAGAGCAGAGCACATTATATGCCTCTTGGGTAGGATGGAAACTATCCCAAAAAATGTAGTTTTCGGTATTTGAACATATGTGTGGCGTCAAACGGTTGCAAAGTATGCCTGCTTCAAAATTTCCCGTGCCACAGCATCCTTTGTTTGCTACTTCAAAACCTAAACCGTTGTAAAACCATAAACAATGAATCAATGAAATGGAAATGTAAATACAAAACAAACTAAAAGTTTTTGAAATTATATGATGGTAATATAATACATGTGTCTTATTACCATATTTAGCAGGATTTTGAATCATTTTGAGTAAAGGGTTGTAAATATCAAGGTAGACAAGTCTAGCTTCTGAAAATTTTTTACTCAGTGCATCTATTTGTGATGAGAGTTTTGTGTTGAAGAGCATTGTTGCTTGGTTCTCAGAATCTGAACAATTTCTCAGTAAGCCTCCTTTAATTGTTCTCTGCGAGGGCACGCACCCTAGAGCTGGTAAACCAATCACTCCAATCCTTCTTGCTCCAAGTCCATAAAGTTCCTGAGTTCAGTTCATTTTAAAATATCAATATTCAAACGCAGAAGATATACGTATGAATATGAACTGAGATGTCAGATAATATAGAAAAGTCTACACCAAGTTGTTCATTTGGGCATGTGGTTCACACATGAATGTGGGGGCACATATAAACACATTCATACACACATGTTTGATATACACTCACTTTTTCCTTTGACCCAATTGTTTGTTTAGCAAACTTTTGACAAAAAGATACAAACTTGCCAACTATAGACAGAGACTAATGCCTAATAATGACAGTGTCATTTGTCAACCATATTGTTCTAATCTTTTTGAGCATTTGCTTATATGTCTGAAAATCATGTGAGGAACTTGATTTTAAGTTGAACTCATTTTTATAAAACTGATTTATAAGGTGAAATTTGTATTCATTTATATACTTACAAACAACAAATTATACCAGCATACACAGAACATCATTTAGCATGTCATAATCAGACAGTGAGCATATGCAAAGAAATATGCTAGCTTTCTTACTTCCAATTCTTTGGTGTTTTCAGTAAAACATATACCTGCAAGAAGTTTGTGGCTTGTGAAGTCATTAAGTCTGTGTATGCAGGAATGTCATAACGTGCTCGCCTAATTGGAGAGAAAGAGTAAGTATTGGCAATGTCATTACTTCCTGTGCACAATATGTATATGCCTTTTGATACTATTGTTGATGTTCTATTTTCTCCAACAATTTCCTCTATCTTGCTCTTGTATTCCCTAAACTTGTTCAATTGATCTGTCAGTGATAGCACAGACTTGTGTGACACATGGCGAAGAAAGTGATGTTAGTATGTTAAGGAAAATGATTAATGGAGATGTATGAGTATATATATAATAAGGTTTTAGATACAGTTATTTACTGCTGATTTAGAAGTTAGAGGATCATATCCAGAACCACCAGATGCAAAGCTTACACCTGTGAGGAGATCTTGAGGTTGCAGTTTTGGATCAAGATAAGGTGGCAAAATCTTTTTCACTCCAAATTTTGCAGCTAGAAGAGGGTCAAAAGAAATATGTTAAAAATGAATATAAAAGTGTTCGTTGTTATGCATAGTGCAAGAGCAAGGATTTTCATACCAATGATGTCTGATGGGATTATACCATTGCTGAACCTCCCACTTGGTTGATTCCCTCCACCAAAATCTTTACCATATGGTTGGAAATTGCATCTGAAAATGGTGTTGATGAAGTTGTTGTTACCTGTGTCTACTATAGAGTCTCCAAACACAATAATTGCTGGCACAGTTTCATCGTTTGGAAGACTCAACACAACACTGGTATGCTGAGTAACAATGGCAAAAGACCAAAGAATGATTAAAGGAAGATGCGAAAGAAGGTTTTGGAAGAGAAACTTCATGTTTCTATGATTGGCAAGTGCCTTGTTTTTCATTAAATAGCCTAATGATCTTTGTAAATGGATAGTTCTGGTTTTGGTGCAAGCTACTTATAATACACATTTTTGTGTGTTTGAACAACTTTTTGTTGTTCCTGTGATACCAAGTCTTGGTCAAAATTACTATTGACATTGATATTGATTGTTAGAACTTAGAAGGTAGTCGACTTAATGTGAAAAAGATCCAATATTCAATTAGGTTTGCACACCACATAAATAAAACTATGAAACTTATTAATCAATTCATATCCTTCCATTATTTATATATTTGGACTAAATTGAGTTATAATAAAAGTGCCATAAATAATTAACATTGGTATCATATTTTCATTTTTTTTTCTCTTCTTTCATAGGGGTGTCGTGTGAGCTTTCCCACCATGCAATCTCCTTGAACTCAACTAGAAAGGTTCCAACAAATGTGAACTTTGCATGAGTGCTTATTTTGATTTCATACTAATTATGGAACAAGTAGAATGTTCACCGTCAGATGATTGCAGTACTCAGAGATGGAACACTTTCGGCTGACTCGATAAGATATTATTTTTAGAGTAATAATACAGTGATATATATATTTATATTTATTTGATAAATGTTATAGAAATAAAATAATTATAAACAAATAAATTTTTAATATTTAAAAAAAATAGAAAAACAATATCAAATGAATGTAAAAAATTTGTGTGTCAAAATATCATTTATTTTATTTTTAATATAAATTTTCTGTTTAGTTTAAATAAATGTGATCTTTCCGTTTTAATTATTTTGTTATTCAACATGCACACCTTAAAATTAGAGGTGTCAATTTATGTCCATGCGCCACTAATGTTAGGGTTAAGGTTTAAGTTTATGATTAGGATTAGGATTTAAATGTTAGGTCTAGAGTTTATAGGTTAAGGGTTAATGTTTAAGGTTTAAGGTTTAAGGTTTAAGGTTTAAGGTTTAAGGTTTAAGGTTTAAGGTTAAGTTTATTATGGTTATGGTTAGTGTTAAAGTTATGGTTAAAATTCAGAGCTCAGGATTTATGATTAAGAATAAGGTTAGGATTAGGATTTATGGATTTTGAGTTAGGGTTAGAGTTACGTTTATGATTAGGATTAGAATTTAGAATTAAAGTTAAGAATGAGGTGATGGTTAGGTTTTAAGGTTAAGTTTAGGATTAAGATTTTAGATTTAAAGTTTGGGGGTTAGCATTATGGTTAACCTTTAGGATCTAAGTCATCTAAAAGTAAAACATCAAGTGGTTAAAAGATGAGGAAAATTCTTTAAGTGTTCGTGACCCATTGTAGCATAATAGATGTCAATGCAGTGAAAAAG